AAGGAAGCTGACGGCTATGAACTCAGAGCTGGGGCGCATGGGGCCATCTTGAGACGAGGGTCTGGCTAGACCTGAGGTCACCAGGGTAGAGACCAGAGTCAAGAGTGGAGAGAGCCGGTGGCGCCTGGGTGGCTCAGTTGGTTGGGTGTCTGCCTTCAGCTCAGGTCATGATCCCAGGGTCCTGGGATCGAGTCCCACATTGGGCTCCCTGCCCAGGAGGGAGTCTACTTCTCCCTCTCCCCCTACTTGTGCTCTCTCTCTCTCTCTCAAATAAATAAATAAAAATCTTTAAAATTAAAAAAAAAAGAGGGGAGAGAGCCAGAGGCCTAAAGATGCCCCTGAGCCCAGCGCCTCCACCAGCACCCTCCATCACGGGGATCCCATCAATTCCCTTCTCGTGCTGACAGTGGTTGGTGTGGTATTTCTGTCACTTGCTACTCAGAGCCCTAACTCAGCCTGTTCTGAGCCTCAGTGCCTGCCATCCAGTCTCCAGGTGGTTGACCTGTCCGGCTTCTCCTGCCAGCCTCCCTGGGACTCCCCCCTCCTGCCGTGGGATGGCTTGGGTGGCACTGTTGGAAACAGGAAGCAACCTTCTCCCACTCAAAAATGGGAGAGTTCTGGGCACATACCCCCTTCCATTTGTTCCTTTCTTGGAAAATCCTGAGGCTCAGCCCCAGAGGCCCCAGATTCCCAACCCACCCCAGCTCAGCCTCGACCAGGGCCTGAGCCAGGCCAACCACAGCCTCAGGCCTGCCAGTTCTAAGCCCCTGGGTGCTGATCGGTCTCCCCATCCAGCACCTTCTCCAACCCCCAGCCTCCTTGGCAAGGCACTCACTCCCTGCTGGCTCCCACCAGCCCCTCCGTGGTGGTCCAACCCTGCCCCTCTGCCTGGGGCTCCTGGGTCCAGCTCCAGGCTCCTCTAGGACCAGGTCCGCCCTCTGCCAAACTCTGAGCCTGCCGGCCACCTGGGAGGAGGACAGAGGAAGAGACTGGCCACTGGGATTTGCCGAGGGCCTACTATGTGCCCACGGCTTAACACTCGTCATAGGCAACAAAGCTAAGTTTGTGCTGCTCTTAAGGAAGGCCTGAGCTTTGGGTCAACCTAGGAATCGGTGCCCGCGCTGACTCAAACAATCTCATCACCTGTAAAATGGGTCACACTAATATTATCACACAGGGTCACCAGAAGGATTTGCCGGGGTCCTCAGGGCCACCGTCCCGAGGAGTTTCTCCCCTCTCCCTGCAAGTAAGGATGTCACTGCCTCACAGCAACAGGGAGGTCAGCCGCCTTGCATGGGACCCAGCAGGGCCAGCCTCCAGGTCACTGCACCTCCGTGGGTGTGTGAGAGGGAGGTTTCGGTCCCTGCACATCCCAGGTGAGGTCCCTTCACAGCCCGCCTCACACACCATCGAGTTTTTGTGGGGAAAAACATGAGCCCCATTTCTAATCAGAGCTCCATCCTACTTTCTAATCATATCACCTCGTTTCCTAAAACCCTCCCGTGCCTTCACACCACCCTGCAGGTGCAGTCCCCGCCTCCTCTGGTCCTGGGCCTGCACCCTGGACCCCGCCACAAGCAGCTGCATCCAGGCTCTAGGAGGGCTGCACACTTTCCTCCTCAGGGCCCTCGCACACACTGTTCCCTCCACTTGACACACTCTTCCCCAGCCGCCCTTTACCTCCCTAACTCCCAAAGTGCCTTCAGATTTGGGCTCCAGGAAGCCTCCTCCACCTCCCCACAGCTGGGGAAGACCCTCTGTTGCATGCCCCGGTGGTACACCCCAAATCCTAAGCCCGCTACCACAGCTGGGCTCCCTGTGAGGCTTTCTGTCCAATGTCTGTCTGCCCCTCTAGGCTGGGAGCACCACGATGCCAGAAGCCACGGGGCGTTTTCTATTTCATCCTGAATGCCTCGTGCGTGCTTTGGCCTCTGGCGAAGCTCAGTAAATGGGGAAGGGAGGAAAGAACAAGGGGAGGGTGACTTCACTGTCCCCTGCCCCCGCCCCAGTCATGTGCCCCTTTTCAGCCGCCCCCTCCCTCCACACACCCCTCACCTTCCAGACTTCCCCTGCAGGGGCAGCCCTCAGGCCCCCTGCTAAGTCACCTCTGCCATCTCCTCCAGGGAGCACTCCAGGGCTGGCCACAACCATGCCAAGCCCCCCCCCCACCCCGGTTTGGGTGCCCTCAGCACCAACACTTGTGAGGAGGGTGCTGTTGCCCTGTTTACTATTGAGGAAGCTGAGGTCGGAGGGCAAAGGAGTCTGTCCAAGGCAAGGGGGCCAGGAGCGTCTCACACCAGGACTGTTGGCCCCCAAATTGCTAACCCCTTCGCTGTCACCTCCCCATGGGATAGTTCCTGGGAGCTCGGAGCCTGATGCTTGGTCTCTGCCAGGCCAGACAGGCGCCCCCCGGGCACGCCTCTCTCTCGTCTGACTTCATCAAAGAAGTACTGACAGCTCTTGGGCCCTGAGTGACACCGTGCATCCCTTGGGAGATTCTCCTTGTTGACTGCTCGTTTCTGGATCATCTCCCCATTCAACAGATGAGGAACTAAGGCCCACAGGGAGAAGGGATGGCTTGTCCAGGCTCACACAGCAAGAAACACACCGAGGCTGGGACGTCAGCCCCGGAGCACAGGGGCTTGTGCCGTTTCTGGGCTCGTTCTACTCCTGGTGTCTGGACGAGGGCCTGGCGTGGGTGCTGGACAATCTCTGGCCACAGGACAAAGTGGTGGAGGTGGCTGGCTGTCCCCGGAAGCTGGCAGGCTCAGGCTACCCTCCGCGCCTCACCTCCCTGAGCTGTGGCACACCCATGTGCTGGCATCGCTCCAAGCAGAGGCAGGGCTGTCCTTGTCTTGCCTCCTGGTGGAGCTGGGGGGTCGGTACCTGCCAACGTGATGCAGGTGGGCCAGAGCCACGGTGCACACTCTGGTCTCCCAGCAGGTAACAGGTGCCCCAGGTGGCACAGCCACTGGAGACCAGGTGGCCACAGTGTCCTGAGGGACACTGGCCCCAGATGGGAACAAAGGAGGTGCTCAGTCACTGACAGGTTTGGATGTGTCCCTGAGTCTGGGAAACCACCCCCTAGAAGGCAGCAATGATGCCAACCCCACTCTGGGTGCCAAGTGTGAGCAGGCCCCATGCTGGGTGCCCCCCACCCACCTCATTGACACCCCGCAGTGCCTGAGAGGTGGCGCCAGAATCCTTTGCCTTGGATGTAGGTGGGGGACCCGGAGGGTGAAGGGCCCCCACCAAGTTACCAGGCAGCTGAGGCACAGTGCTGGAACCCAGGATGGCCCCAGAACTGAGGAGCAAGAACAAGGACACCAAGGCCACCATGTGGGTCAGAGACAGAGGTGAAAGATCGGTTGAGTCAGGGCTCTCACATTGCATGGAACAGAAATGGGCTCAGCAACGTATGTCTCACTTCGGCATGAGGGTTTCCTGGGTATCACAAATGGCCAAGGCAGGGAGTGTAGCCAGAGAGGGACGCCAGGGAGTGACCCCCTGTGGCGGATGAAAAGTGGCCGCCAATTCTTCATTGCTCTCTCCCCGTGGAGAAGTGGAGTGTACCTCCCCACCGCTTGCGTTTGGGTTGGCCTGAAACTGCTTTCATCAAGAAAATGCAGCAAAAGTCACGCCATGCCAATGTGGGGCCCCAGACCTAAAAAGCTTTCAGAAGCCCTGGGCTGCCAGGTAAGAAGTTTGGTTCCCCCACCGGAGAGCCCCTGGGGACATATGCGGATAGAGAAGTAAAGAGAGGCCCAGCCTTGCAGCCCCGTCTCCCCCGGCAACGGTCACATCAGGGGGTTCTGGCGCAGGTGAGCGGGCCGTGCTGGAGGCTCCAGCCTAGTCGAGATCCACACTGGTGTGACTCCCGCCGACTCCCCATGGAGCAGAAGAACCAGCCCACAGAACCCAGCCAATGCACAGAATCATGCCAGTAACAGCTGGTTGTTTTGAGCCACTGAGTTTTGGTGTGTGCGGGGGTGTGATTCCGCCTGCTTAAACTGCCTCTAAGGAAGACCTCTCAGGATGGTCTGAGTCTCTCATAAAAGCCTTTTATGGGCTCTCAAGTGTGAATTTAGTAGTAACACTAAAAATGCCCCATGACACAGGAATGAGTTCAGCAAACCACCCAAGTTCCCACTCTGGGGGACAAGAGATTGAGATTGCGGGGGGCACTGCTCCAGAGGGGCCTGGGGGAAGCCAGCAGACCCCAGGTAGGGCTGGGAAAACCTGGGGGTCAGGACACTTTCTCATGTGCCATCCCTGAGGTGGGGGGCTGCCGCCGTCTGTGCTGGAATGGAGGCGAAGCTGCTGACGCCCAAGGAGGGAACAGAGAGGACTCCAACATGGGTGTGGAGCTGGGGCGGGGGGCGCCCGGGGCCAGGGCCGGTGCAGCTGGGACCCTCCTAGCATCTCTAACTCACGCACATATACTCAGCCCATAGGCTCCTGTTACCTAAACCCACTCTTTTTCCCCAGCGAGGGTGAGGGTGACAGTGCTCTCTACTCGACTGTAAGTCGCTTAAGGGCAGGGACTGTGTCTGTCTCGTAGGCGACCATCTTCTCACTGCCTGCCATGGGCCTGTGCTCTGTGTTTGTCATCTGCATGCGTGCATGCATGAGGGAATGAATGCATGAATCGGCCTATCTGCTGTCATGGCTCTTCTTTTTCTTTGAAGTCTTGCAGTCCTAGATACAAGTCCTATCTCTCCAGCTGATGCTCTGCTGAGCAAGCCATCTGAACACCCAGACACAGCTTTCCCGTGTGTATAATGGGGGCGACTCAAGTCCACTGTGGGCAGGGCTGCTGGAGAAGGAAGGGAGAGCCTGTAAGGGCAGGACAACCGCACGCTGGCTTTGGGGTAGCAGCCTTCACCACTGTTCCCATCACTGTTGCTACCCTGCAGGGGCTCCCTGCACCCTCCGCCCTCACCAGGCCTTCATCCGGCTCCCCGAATGACCACACTGCCTCTGGCCCCATTCAGGGCTTAAGTTAAATCATATTTAATTGTTTTTCAGAAGGGAATAGAAAAATCAGGAAAGAGATTCACAGCACTCGCAGTCAAGAAAGGGTTAACTAAAAAAAAAATGGGAATATATTAAGCTTTCAGTTGAAAAAATGCAAACGCAGTCCCTCTCACACTCACCCCTGTGTTCTCACTCACACACACGCATCCCTGCTCCAGATACACGCCCGCCCTCAGGCATGCACACACGCACATGCATGCTCCCAAACACTGCCACGCTCCTAACACACGTGCACATGCCCACGAACGCACACACACACTCGCGCTCCCAGACACTGCAAAGCGCCTAGCACACTCACACACGCACCCAGTAGGGCTGGCAAGATGGTGGGGGAGACCTGGTGCCCTCAGGGCCTGCCCCTCCCCCCCTCACTGAAATGGCAAAGCCAGACTACACTTGGGGCTCTAGGGGACACACGCAGGACTTGGAGGGCTGTGCTTGCGGTGGGGAGACAGAGAGGCCGTGGCGGGGACAGGCAGCCTCAGACGACTCTGTTCTCCAGGACGGCCAGCCGCTTACTCACAGCTTCCAGTGGACTCGGGGTTAAGGACAGGCGCAGGCTGACCAGAGCAGGGCAATGATGGCTGTCCCGCCTGCACTTGGGACCCCACTTCCTGTGTCCCCCACCTCCCAAGAGCCTATCTTCCAGGGGGTTCTCTCACCCCGTCTACAGCATGCGTCCTCCCGTGTCACTGCCCTCAGAATGGTGCCTTCCCCAAAACGCACTAGTTACAGTGTGCCCTGAAGGCCCAGCCCTGCCCAGTGGCAGCTTCAGGCCTGCTGGGTCCCCAACCTGGACCCCCACCCCATCCTGACAGAGCCAGGGGAGCTGTTCCAGGCCCAGCCTCATCTGAGAAGAGGCTGGTATTCTTCGTGTCACTGAGAGCCTGAGAAATGGGGAGGCCATAGGCTCCATGTTTTCCTGAGCACGGCTAGGACTCTGGATGTGTGTCCAGTCTCTAGATCTTGGCTTCTGCCTCAGTTTCTCTGTTTACCCTCTAGGAGCCTCTGCTTTTGACAGGATCAGTACCAAAGCCAGTGCCAGCCCATCTGTCCACCCGTCTCCAGCAGGAGGCAGAGTCCCTACCTGGGACCCCACACACAAGGGGCGTGGCTCCCTCTCCCCGCCCTGCAGTGTCCTGCCCCCCCCCACTCCCCGCCCCTCCATGGCCTCTGGGAAAGGATATGCTTCCTGGTCAAGGCCTGCAGCAGCCTCTCTACTTTGGTCTGGAATTTCACAATGGACTCGCAGGCACACGGGTCTTCCTCTGGAGTGGGCAGGACGTAGGGAAAGAGAAAGGGAAGGTGAGTGGTGGTGTGGCAGGGGGAGTGAGGAGCGGTCACAACCCGGGGCCAGGACTAGGGAGTCTTGGGGGAGTACAGGGGGCCTGGGAGAGCTGAGAAGACAGAGACATGTGTAGGGTTCTGAGGCAGAACTCCCAGGAATGACAGACGGGGAGACTCTGAATGTCTTCCCAACCCCACAGAGCCCTGATAAAACCTCCAATACCAGCATCTCCATGCTGGTCCCCTACTGCATGCAGGGAACTGCTGCTAGGGGCCTCGAGGTCATCTTGGCGGCTTCATCCAACACTCTGGGTTGGAAGTCATTAATCATCCCATTTTACAAATAAAGAACCCGAGCAGTGAAACAATCGGATCCTCGCCCACAGCCAGTTACTGCCAGAGCAAACGCACAAACGCAGGCATGTCTGACTCCGGAATCCATACTCTCTACCACTGGGAGGATCGGGGGAGGCAGCAAGGTTCAAATCCTGGCGCCTCCAGTTATTAACGATTGTTCCACCCCTCTGGGCTTGGTTTTCCTGTCTGTAAAATGGGAATAATAATATTTCTACCAATTAGGATTGAATGATTTAATATTTGGAGAGTACTAACAACAGTGCCATTCATGTAATAAGCATTCAGCCTATGTTTGCTGGTTGCAAAAGTGAGACTGGCCAGCCCTCCTCCTGCTTCTGCCAACTCTTGTTGCCACCCCAGCTCCTACTTCTCCTCACCCACAACCAGTTCCAGAATGGCTCCCCAGTCTCCCCCAGAGCCCCACCCGCCCTTCCCATCGATGCCACCCCTGGCCTCACTAACCCACACAGATCTTCTTCTGCAACCTCTTGCCAATCTGGTTGATGGTCTTGAAGTCAGCCGTGTAGAAGTAATGCTCTGCCACGGGCTCTGAGGCGATTTCCCTCAGCTCATCCTCCACGGCATTGCCCACACCCACAGCAAACATCTTAAAGCCTGCCAAGAGGAACAAGATGAGTGACAGCGGCCATGGGGACAGGCAGCCGCAGCTGAGCTTCCTGGGCAATGCCCAGGCGATCAACACCAGACACCTCCTGGTGGCAGCTTCTGGAATTACAGGCACAGTGCCTGGGACAAAGACATTGAGGAAACCAACATTCACTGAGGTTCTACCCTATGTCAGACCTGTACCGATTCTCTGGACCGGGAGCTTCATAACCTCATATACCCCATGATCATCCATCTGGTGGCTATTATTATCCTCATTAAATAGGTGTTAAAACAGAGACTCCGGCTTGTCCCAAAGTGGGGCTGCCTTCCAACAGTTGGTGTGTTCTGGGGAAAATTCAACTGGAAAATCTCCAAGCCCCACCTACAAAAGGACCATTGAAACAAGCTGCCTACTTTTCTGGGGCCTCCGTTTTCTCATCCCAGATAAGAAAGAGTTGGACAAACCCATCCCTCCTTATTCACATTGAACTTGGGTTTAGGCCCTAGTAACAGACAACCTATAGTCGAGCTGTTCCCTAGGTACTCCTGGCCATCAGTGGCATTCAGGATCCAGGCATCACCTACCAAGTTCCTTGGCTTTCTTGGCGGCATCGTTAATGTAGTCCTGGCTCCGGCCATCAGTGAAGACAATGCCCACCTTCTGGGCCCCAGGCCTAGCCCCACTGGACACAGTGAAGGAATTGTCAACGAGGTACTTGAGGGCAGCCCCGGTCATGGTGCCCTTCTCCATATATGACATGTTCCGCACAGCCGCCTTAATGTCCTTCTTCGTGTGGAAGCGGCCCAACGGGAACTCCTGGCGCACAGAGCTCGAGTACTGCACTAGCCCCACCTGTGCCAGCTTGTCGGACACGTCCAGCGTGTCCACGATCTGATTGATGAACTTCTTCACCAGCTCAAAGTTCTCCGGCCGCACACTTTTGGATCCATCAATGAGGAAGACCAAGTCAGTGGCCGAACTGCCACTGCTGCTGCTGCAGGCTAGGAAGGGTAGCAAGGCGAGGAGGTAAAGCTTAGGGACCAGTCGTTCACCCTGACCACTAGTCAGGAACTCATCACACACCAAGCTCTGTACTGAGGATTATCCCAGCCTATTTTGTCCTCAAAACTCCCTCTAGAAAGCCAAGGTTCCTGGCCTTGTTCTGTAGCGTTGGAAACTGAAGCTCCAAAGCCATTAAATCATACAACTCAGAAGGAGTGGCACCAAGAGTTGAACTCAAGACTGTGTAACTCCTTCCACCATACTAAGCCCACCACCCACCGTGACAAAGAGGGACAGAAGTCAGAAGGTAACTTTCTGCAGACACCAAGTTCTAGGAGGCATCTATCACCTTTGCAGATTGGTCCAGAAGCAAAGTGCAGAGAGGCTCGAATGGGCTTCCTAGAGAGTGGCCAAGCCGCCCCCCTCCCCACCCTCCCCAGGGCTTGCCTGTGTGCAGCCCACTGACCATTGCAGGTCTTGCCATCACTGTTCAAGGTGAAGCCCTCCCGACAGGCGCAGGTGTAGGAGCCCGGGGAGCTGAGGCACACCTGCTCACAGTCATGGTCTCCTGTGGCACACAGGTCTGACACCACTGTGGGGACAAGAAGACACTCAGAATCTCACTGTCACAGGGCCTTGGATATCTCAGCCAGGGTGGCCCTTCAAACACTCAGGGAGACTGAGGCCGCCAACTGGGTGAGTTCTGAGCCCCAGACCCTCAGCCCAGGGCCGGAATCACTGGCCCGCCCCATGCTGACTCTCTCAGCCCCGCCTCCCGCCCTATTCAGCCCCGCCCCGTCGCTGACTCAGCCCCGGACCTGTCCATCCCCGTCCGGCCCCGCCCTGACCAGCCCTCCATGCAGACTCAGTCCCGCCCTGTCCAGCCCCGCCCCGATCGACTCTAGCCACGCCCTCACCCCCCCTCCCTGCCCTTGCGACGCTCCGTCAACCCTGTCCATCTCCGTCCGGCCCCGCCCTGGTCCGCCCTCCATGCAGACTCAGTCCCACCCTGTCCAGCCCTCCTGTCCAGCCCCGCCCCGATAGACTCTCTAGCCACGCCCCCTTCCCCTCCCTGCCCCCTGCCCTGGCCCCATCCCGTCGCTCAGCCTCGGCCCTATCCATCCCTGTCCGCCCCGCCCCGGTCCCACCCCCGATGCGGACTCGGACCCGTCCCGACGCTCTCAGTCACGCCACGCCCCGTCCAGCCACGCCCCCCGCTGCGGCCCCGCGCGGACACCAGCACCCCCCACGCTCCCCCGAAGCGCCCCAGCCTTGTCCACCCCATGCCCCTCCCGGCGCACCGCAGAAGGCCTCCTGGAACTTCCTGGACAGCTTCTCGATGACGCTGTAGCTCTCCACGTAGTCGACGTGCTCTTCCTGCGGCTCACTGGCGATCTGCCGCAGCGTGGCCTTGTCCACGCGGCCCACGCCGATGGCGAACAGCTCGATGCCTCTGGCCTGGGCCTGTGCAGACACGTCCCGCACGCTGTCCTGGGGCCTCCCGTCCGTCACCACGATGGCCACCTGAGACACGCGGGGCGCGTGTGAGGACCAAGTCTCCCTCCCGCGCTGGGCTGGGCCGCTCAGCCCTCCAGTAAGCCCCCGGGGCCACTGGCAGAAGAGGACCCTGAGGCCCGAGAGGCAGAGTGGCTTGCGCAGGTCACACAGCCAGTCCACGGCAGGTGGATCTGATTCCCCGCAGGGTTTTGCCCCAGGGACAGAACCTGACTAGCAGAAGAGGAGACAGGTTTCCTCTGACTGAAAGACTTGGCTGAGGTGCTCTCCTGACTAGCGCCTGTGGGTGTCACCCCACTCGGGCAGGCAGCTCTGTGATGATCTGAGGGCAGGACCATGTCTCCCTCCTCAGACTGGGGCCTCTGAGGACAGGTCCCAGCAAGTGTGCCCGACATCATGCAGTTCTGCCCTTTGGCCAGCAGAGGGCGGGCGAGGCTAAAGAACGGCGGTTCTGCCTCCAGTCTGGCCATTCTTCCCCTCCAGGCTCGGGGGGCGGGGGCGGAGGGGGGCTTCCCACTTAGATAGCTTCCTCTTCTCCCTCCGTTCCCCAGGATGCTACATGCCCTTTCCGTAGGGGAGAACACTGTCTGCTCCCCTCCCACAAGGCTCCCCTGTTTGTGCACTGGGAAGGGAGACAGAGGGGACCCTGGTGCTGGGCCTATCCCTCACCACCCCAACCTGAGCTGAGCCTGCCCTGAAGCCGGGGTCCTCACGCTTCTCTGCTTCTGACCTGGGTCTGCTTCTGATTCCTGGGTCCCCACCTTCGGACCCCGGTCCCCAAACCCCTGTATTAGTGACCTGTAGTATGGTGGTTGGAAATGCGGCTAACCCTCCTGAGTCATCTAATGAGATGATTCATGGTCCGAGGCCAGGAAGGGGAAAGATTATTTTTCATATCACTGCTGGGGACCCCCTGGGGAGTGATTTTGCACCATCCCTTCCCCACCAGAGGCCGAGGTTCACCTAGCTGAGACTGTCCACTGCCACAGGCTGCCACATTCCCCCAAGACCCACTGCCTTCTGCAGCCCCGACTGTCCCCCTTCAATCCAGCCTTGGGACTTTGAACCCACCTTGAAGGGGCCTCCCACAGGTGGATTCCAGGCTGGATGCCCGAGGTCTGGAGGAGTTGGCACTCTCTGTCCTCATGTGCCCACCCCAAGCCACTGGCCTGATGTGGACTGACACAGGTAACTGGAGATGTGACAGCTACGGACGTCACCACCATCCCCTTCACCACTTCTCTCTATTAGGATCACCCCAGGTCACCACAGCCTCTCAACGACCTCATGTCAGAACTTGTAAAGGGCCCCCACAAAGGACAACCAACAGGCTGCCTAACAGGCCATTTCTTTGAGGGGCTGTCATGGCCGGGATTATGTGCTATTATCTCTAGATGTCCCTACCACTTACTAACTGGGCAAGACACTTAAGCCTCCCGTGCCTCAGTTTCCTCATCTGTAAAATGAGGATACCACCTCCGAGCAAGATTGCATTCATTCGGCACTCATGTGTCAGGCATGTCCTGCATGGGGGTAAGAAAATATGTCCCCGGGGCCAAGGCCCTGGGCAGGTAAAGAGTGACTCCTTCGGGCCGTTGAGGGCTATGAAGGGGAAGTGTGGGTGTCTGTGGGCAGACCACCGCAGAAGAGAAAACCTGACCGGCCTCGCAGGCCCTGGGCTGAGTCCTGGGAAATCCCGCTGTGGCGACCAGGTCTGTGAAGTCCTCGGCACCCGGCCTGGAGCCCGTACTGGCGTTGGCTTGTGACGCGTCATCTCATTTTTCTGAACCCCTGCCCTCCGAGGCTGATTAAATAAAATCTGAGCTAACCCTTCTGTGGGGCTCGGTGGTGCCAGGCACTGTTCTGAGCACTCTATGCTATGGACTCGCAGAGTCCTCCCAACAGCCCCTTGAGAAAGTTAGGTTACTGTGGTTTTAAACTGAGACAAGGGCTGCACGCGCTGCTCGGGGTTACACAGCCAGTCCGGGGAGTGGGGGGCTCTGGACTGCCTCACTTGGCCTCGGGAAGCCAAGGTCCACCAAACTGAAATAATCGAGCTCTCACCAGACTGAGGTCCTGCGATCAGAGGGTGGATAAAGATGGGTTCACATCCCAGCTCCCAGCTCTGCCACTTGGCTTCGTTGGGTCTAAGACACAACTGTGAGCCGGTTTAGAGAATCCCGCAGGTGGTTCACTGCAGGACGCCGGCGGGGAAGGGTGGGACACGTACCTTGCTGATGTCGGGGGACCTGGCACCACTCCCCTCGGTGTCGCTGAAGGCTTTGGTGATGGCGAACTGGATGGCCAGGCCGGTCATGGTCCCCGTGGACAGCGGCTGGATGCGGCGCACGGCCCGGAGCAGCGAGGCCTTGGAGCCGTGGGCCCGCAGTGGGAACTCCTGCTTCACGGCGCTGGCATAGTTGACCACGCCCACCCGGGTGGCATTGGGCCCCACATCCAGCGACTCAATGACCTGGGACAAGAACACCTTCACCTTCTCGAACTCCACAGGCCGCACGCTGCGCGAGCTGTCCACCACAAACACCAGGTCCGTGGGCCGGGTCCGGCAGAGCTGCCCTGCAAGGGGACAGGAGGGGGAGGGCCAAGAGCAAGGGCAAAGGTCAGGGGCTACTTCGACCGAGACTGGAGGCCTCCGGCAGTGTAGACTGAAGCTGAGCCAGGCCGGGTAGGTCCTTCTGTCAGCATGTGGACACCTGGGCAACCCACTTGCCAAAGGCCCCCACAGCTCAGCCCCGTGGGAAAGACAGAGGCTCAAATCTCAGCCTCGGCTAAAATTAACAAGTCAGGAAACGACAGATGTTGGCGGGGCTGCGGAGAAAGGGGAACCCTCCTACACTGTTGGTGGGAATGCAAGCTGCTGCAGCCACTCTGGAAAACAGTATGGAGGTTCCTCAAAAAGTTGAAAATAGAGCTACCCTGTGACCCAGCAATTGCACTACTGGGTATTTACCACAAAGATACAAATGTAGGGATCCGAAGGGGTACGTGCACCCCAATGTTTATAGCAGCAATGCCCACAATAGCCAAACTGTGGAAAGAGCCAAGACGTCCATCGACAGATGAATGGATAAAGAAGATGTGGTATATATACACAATGGAATATTATGCAGCCATCAAAAGGAATGAGATCTTGCCATTTGCAACGACGTGGACGGAACTGGAGGGTGTTATGCTGAGCGAAATAAGCCAATCAGAGAAAGACGTGTATCATATGACCTCACTGATATGAAGAATTCTTAATCTCAGGAAACAAACTGAGGGTTGCTGGAGTGGTGGGGGTGGGAGGGATGGGGTGGCTGGGTGATGGACATTGGGGAGGGTATGTGCTATGGTGAGCGCTGTGAAGTGTGCAAGACTGTTGAATCACAGATCTGTACCTCTGAAGCAAATAATGCAATATATGTTAAAAAGAAGAAGTAGAAGAAGATAGCAGGAGGGGAAGAATGAAGGGGGGGAAATTGGAGGGGGAGATGAACCATTAGAGACGATGGACTCTGAAAAACGAACTGAGGGTTCTAGAGGGAGGGGGGTGGGGGGGTGGGTTAGCCTGGTGATGGGTATTAAAGAGGGCACGTTCTGCATGGAGCACTGGGTGTTATATGCAAACAATGAATTGTGGAACACTACATCAAAAACTAATGATGTAATGTATGGTGATTAACATAACATAATAAAAAAAATCTCAGCCTCAGGCAACTCACTGCACCTCTCTGAGCTTAGTTTCCTCCTGTGTACAGGGAACTGACAATCCCCTCTTTACAGGATCCACTGGGGCCAAGCAGGAGTGCGTGCAGCGTGCCAGGACAGGGCTGGGCACCAGCCGGTGTCCAGGGGATGGCAAAGGAGACAGCAGCCTTTACAACACATTTCTCAGGCTTTGGCCCAGAGTTCCTATGGCAACATTTCTCCTGGGGGGGCAGAGGGTACAGCCCCAGTCACCAAAGTGGACCCAGTTTCCCTCAGCCATGAGGAAGCCTGCTGGTTAGTGTCCATGGGCAGGGGAGAGGGGCAGCGATTCCTCATGGCCACCGGGGCAGCCTGACCCGGTGGGTTCCTAAGACACATCCCTACAGAGGCATGTCTTTCCAGACACCCTGGGCAAGCAGCACCATGTGCTGGAAAGCACATGGAGCTGGAATGAAGCAGAGTGGTGTTTGAATCCCGGCTCAGCCCCGCTGTGGCCCTGGGCAGCTCACTGCACCTTTAGGAGCCTCAGTTTCTCATCTGTCCTGTGGGGAGAATAAAGCTCACTGCTTGGTACTGTCACTGGCCTGGCCCTGCAGCCGGGCGGGGCTCAGTACAAAGGCCCTTCCCTCTGCGTCCCAGAACTGAGCAGAGCTGCTCCTAAATGAGAATGCAGGAAGGCTCAGGAAAGGGAAGGGGTCCTGGGCCGTCCCAGCCCCCCAGCCACAGCGCCCTAGGTACCAGAGTTCCTCAAGGGACCTGAGAAATGACCTTGCAGCCGCACCCTGGTCCCTACCAGTTAAGCTACAAATGGGTAAACTGAGGTCCACAGAGGGTGAGGGAATTAGCCACACCATGGAGTAGTGGATCGGGAACCAAGAGAACGCCCTTCTCCAGCCTCAGTTTCCCTATCTGTCCAGGATGAGCTGGCCATTCTGGGATTCAGTGCCCAAGGCTGAAGCTCTGGGAGTGGTACAGCAGGTTGGAGCCTACACACAGGTATGCTGGAAGGGCTGGGGAAAGGGGGATGGAGTCCTGGCCACCCCAGAGCTGCACTCAGCGGAGCGTGGGCTCGGCCCTGGGCTTGGTGCAGCTCCAGCTTCTGTCCTCAGCAACCCACAAGACTGGCCCTGGCAGCATGCGTGGTCCCCAAGGGTGGCCTGGGAGCTGGGGAGCCCCAGGGAAGGTTCTGAGACTGCAGAGACAGGCCCACTCCTGTCCCTCAATGGAACAGACTGAGCGCCACCCCTGCTCTGGCCCTTATGCACGTCACTATTGCTGTCGGCCCCCGTGCCAGCCTGCTGCCGCCCCTGCCTCCCCTACCCCCTGGCCCCGGCCCACCCCAGGATGCCACTTTACCTCTACTTATCTTGGGGCCCAGCCTCCCATCCCCCACCTCCTGTGGACCACCTCACCTCTGGCGTGGGGGGCGAGGCCCAGTGTGCACAGGGCCTGGAGCTGCAGCAATAGGCCACATGGCACAAGGCTGGCACCGGAGAGGAGCCTCATGGTTCCGGCAGCACGGGCAGGAGCCGGCACAGTGCTGGGGGCCAGTGGGGTCCCGGGCTTATCAACCTCGCTGCCCAGCCTCCCAGCCAGGCGGCCCCCACTGACGTGGGGGCGGCTGCCCGGGCCCCTAGCCCCCTTGGGGGGGCGTGGCCCAGGCTGAATGGAGGTGTGTGTGCCCAGAGAGGGAGGGAGCCGCCTGGCCTGGGCTCAAGAGGCCCCTCCGACCACAAGGGCTCCTTTGCCTGCAGAAGCAGCCCGGGCTGCAGCCGGAACTCAGGAAATCTCAGGTGGGTGGAGGGTGGCTCCTCCAGGGGTTGGAGCGGGCTCTGACCCAAAGCTGCCACTCCAAGCCCAGGGAAAGTCCAGCCCAGGGGCCTCAAGCCCCGGTCCTGCCCTGCACCCTCACCCCACACCCCGCCGCTTCGCTCACCTGCATCCATTTCCTCATCCAGCCCAGACCCTGCGCCACCTCGGCTGTCCCCTACCTCTCTACCTTCTCCCTGCCGGTCACCTTCACCTGGGGTCTCCGAGGTGCCCTCCAGACCTTTGTACAGGCCGGGTCACCCGCCCCCAGTGCCTTCCCTCCCATTCACTCTCTGCCTAACAGAATCTTTCAAGATCATCGTTGGAAATGACCTGTGGGCTCAGGGCGGTAGAGAGGACAGTCAGGAGCAAAGACTTGAAGCCAGATTACCTGGGTTTACTAGATGCTACCTGTGTGACCATGGGCCAGTCGATTCACCTCTCTGAGCCTACCTTCTAAGGTGGATGAGAGGAGCAGGGTTCTACGAATCGTCTCATTTAATTCCCTTGACAACCCCGTGATGCAGGTACTATTACTACCCCCACTTTCCAGAAGAAGAACTGAAAAACAGAGAGATGAAGTAACTTGTCTGAAGTCACACTGCTAAGAAGTACCATTGCCAGGGTCGCCTGGTTGGCTCAGTCTGTTAAGTGTCCGACACTCGGTTTCGGCTCAGGTCATGATCTCAGGGTTGTGGGATCGAGTCCTGAGATGGGGGGGGGGTCCGTGCTCAGTGGGGGGTCTGCTTGAGATTCTCTCTGTTGCTCTCACCCTGCCCCTCCTCCCCATGCCCCCTCACACGTGTGCACGTATGCTATTTCTCTCTCTAAAATAAATAAATAAATCTTTTTTTTTTAAAGTATCATTGCCAGAACAGGGCCCCAGGTCAGTGCTGTCAGCCACCCTGCTTGCTTGGGTGGAGCTTGGTGGAGCTGCCTTCTTCATGCCCACCTCTCCCCTACTCCTCCAGGGTTAGGACCCCCGTCCCGTGCTTCCATCACTGTGTGTCTCACCCAGGAGCTGGTAAGAGTCTGACTGATTCATCCCTGCATCTGGGCCCAGCCCAGGGTCTGCACTGGAAGGCAAAAATAAAGCCTTATAAATAAAGGAACATCACCAGGAATGGCCCCTGCTGCTGCAAGGAAGCCCAGTAATATGGAAAGAGCATGGGCTTGGCCAACTGAGAGACCCAGGTTCAGATCTCCATCTGTGGCTGAACAGCTGTGTGACCTAGAGCTGCTAACTTAACCTCTCTGAGCCTCAGCTTGTTATCATGCGGTGGGAATGGTAGTTCTTTCCTTGCCTGCCTCACTGGGACCGTGTGAGGAGGCAGTGAGAAGACAGAAGGGGAGATGAGGGTCAAAGGATTATCATCGTTCCAGGGACAGGATCGTTAACATTTAAGACCTGTGTGCCTCACCCTGTATGAGTTATGCCTCAAAAAGAAATGTACAGACTTTTTTTTTAAGTGACCCAACCAATAGTCTCACAATCTTTAGTGACAATGGCAACCACGCTCTATTACTGTGTCTCCTTGTTCTCCAAACAAACCTGTGAGGTCAGCAGCTCTAAGGGCTTCAGCCCATTTGTCAGATGGGACAACTGAGGCCCAGAGAAGTCCATGACTTGCCTGAAGCCACCAGCCAGTTAGGGGCGGAGCCCAGCCTGGAACTCAGGTCTCATCCTTCTTTGCCCCCGGTTTAGAGAACGGGGAAGCAAAGAGCATTTCCCTCTGACATTTCCCACATAGATTTCATTTACTCATATCATCCACAGCCGTCCCCAGCTCCAAACGCTAGTCAAGGCTGCCGGTCCCTTATCCCTCTACAACTTTTAAGTATAATTCTTTTCTCCAAAGACACTGTAGGGCATAATGACTGCAGTGCCTCTCACTTCCCAAAAATGGGTCATAAATGTGTTAGCTGCCCCCCACTGGCCATCAGCTCCCTCCGAGTGGGGGTAAGGGGGGGGTCTGGCCCGACTCAGCCGCCACTGACCCTCAGGACCCGGCATGACGCGGGAACAGGGTATCTGGTCAGCAAATGAAGAAATACATTAAAAGAAGCAACAGGTGACAAACGGGTTCCATTTCCTTGGGAACCGACCAGGGTCAGGCTGGGGTCTGCAGCGGTGGTCGCAGCCCGCTGGAGCTGCACGAGGAGAACGTGATCCGCAGCCTCCTGGCCCCGAGTCCTCTCCCCGGTGCACGGGGCCGCGGCCGGAGCTCGGGGTACACGGCTCTCTTGGCCGGGCCGGCAGCTGGGCCCATGAAATAGCTCTTTCAGCCCCGAGTCTGAATGGCCGTTCTATGGGCTCCTCCAAGGAACACAGGCGCCTTTTCTGTGTCACCCGTCCGCTCATTAGCAAGGCCACAGAAATGGGCCACAGGTAAGTTTTCAGGAGCAGAGATAGGTTCCCCCCGCAAAAAGGGGCAGCTTTCACATTCCACAGCGGAGCAAGGTTTTAGGGGGAGGAAGTTCAGCCTATACATTGAGGCAAGAAAATAAATATTTGTGTTTTCAAAATGTGAAGCATTTTTCCCCCCAGGAATGAAAATCAGGAACACTGTGTCCGGTATGAACCAGAGAAAAAAAAGGCTTGCAAGTCAGACGGGCAGCCGTGAAGGGCTCCCGCTGTTCCCTCTCCTTGTTTTCACATACCTTGGGTTTCCAGAAACTTAAAGCCTTTAGTGTTTTGTCCGAGAGAGCGCCTTGGCGCTAAAGCAAGGGGCCCCAGGCAGGCGTGCCTCCGTGGCAAGGGCACAGGACTCCCCTCCCGTGCCCCCAGGACTCCACTCTTTTCCTGAAGAGCAAACCTGGTTATTGCGTGCTCCTCCTCCCTCCTTCCCCCACCAACCTCGCAGTTTGGCTGGATCCACACATACCTTTACTCTTATTTATTTACTCTGTCTCTTTAATTAACTCTAAACCAACCAACTCACTTGGTGAAAAACACTCTCCTCCTCCTCCTAAGAAGTAACAGCCATGAAATCTCTGGGTTGCAGTACCATTTATAAAGGTATTCTTATGTGCCTTCAGATACATTCGAAACTAATTAAATTTGACTTCTGCATCCGCACATCACTGAAAATTACCTCGTGTTCTGCCAGTGGCATGCATGCCAGACTTTGAGGAATCCTGTGAAGCACAAAGCTCCGGAATCAGACACAGCCGGGGTGTGAGTCCCTGTTGCTTCACCCGCCAGCTGCACGTAACTTCAGGTGAACCCCCTCACCGTTCTCTCTTCTGCTTCAGGTCTGCAAAGTTGGGACCTCAGCGCCCACATCACAGGATGGTCGAGAATGACGTGGATGAACGCCGCATCCACGTTTCTTGTTTCCGCCTTGCCTTCTTGTATCGGTCGGAAGAGAACAGGCTAAGCTGCGGTAACAAGTAAGCCCTTGGATGGCAGTGGCTTAGCACAAGGGTATGTTTCTCTCTCATGACACAGCCCAGTGCTAGACATGGGGCCCCCTGCGCAGGCTCTTCCCAAAGCCACCTCCGTCTGACTAGCCCACCATTTCCAAGTCCTTTGTCTCTGGCCACATGAACATGACAGAGACAGCAAGCGTCCCTCTTCATGCCCTCCAATAAGGAGTACACATCACCTGACTCTGCCTAGAAGCCCAGGGGTTGGACATGGGTATTTAGTGTCACCCTTCCCAAGTGGGGGGAAAAAAAAAAAAAAAAGCTTCTGTTGGCCCTACCTCACTTCTAGATGAAAATTCAGATTCAACTGGGCATTCAAGCCTTCTCACAATCCGTTTCTTGCCACCTTTTCCAGGCCATTCCAGTCTCCCTCCCATCCCCTCTCTGTCTCCCCAACTCTGACCCCTCTTTTCTGTGGCACTGAGGAAAGCATAATTTTTCCTTCACTGCAGCAAATTCCACTTCAGGTTCTACTGACTGGTGTTCATGGCTCTTGCCCCATGAGCTCATGGGGGCCTCCCAGGTGGAGCCTCTGCCTTTTGCACTAGCACATTATCCCAGTCTGTGCTCAATAAATGGCAACTCGTTTTGCTATGGGGGAAACCTAAAACCTTGACTCTCGGGCTCTGAAGGAAACCCAGAGGTCATCTAGAGCAGTGGATCCAGCCTGGCCACTGCCAGACTCACTAGGAGACGCCTGTCAAAAATAGAGTCCCCCCCATGTTGGTGCCTTCTTGGGGCCAGAGGGTCCGCCCCCACCCCTAGGGGCAGCTGTGGAGCTTTCCATGGGGAATGGCTCCCACTGTCCAGCACGCTGGCAGAGGAATGAGCGTTTGGAGGGGAGGCTTAGGTTTAGCACTGGGAACCATGGCAGAGCCAGTTGGTACCTGTCCCACACCCCTCAGCCCACCTGCGTGTGCACCTCCAGCTGCTGCGGACAACCTGGGAAGTGCATATCCCCGGGGCAGCCCTCAGCCAGTGAGGGAGAGGAGCCGGGGACACATAGCTTCCCCGTTCCCCAATGGACAATTCTGGCATGGGCTCCATGCGGTTCCTCGGAGGGTTCCCGGCAGGAAGCAACCCGTTTATCAATGCATCTCTCACTGGCTTGTATCCCCTCCCGGTCTCACTTCCCCTCTCATTATATTTCCTGGGGCCACCGCCCAAATAAACTACTCGCTTCCAAGTTCTTGTCTCAGGAGCTGCTTTGGGGACTATTTTAAACGAAGCTAAGGCAAAGCTTTCCCAGGTGTGGGAGACCAAGACAAGGACGTGTTTGGGCCCTTCTGGGGAGGGGGGAGAACAGGCCTCTGACAGGCAGGGCAAGCGAGGGGAGGGAAGACAGATGCCCATCCCGGACCCTGAGGCCAGCCAGGATCTGCAGGCTCTGAGCAGAATCCTCACCTACCTGCATTTATGGGCTTTTCTCTGTTTTATCCTTCCTTCAGTTACCCCCAAACTATCGGTAGAGATCAGTTAAGATTTTTCCAAAGAAAAATAGATTCCCAGGGTCCATCCCAGACCCAGTGAATCTGCATTTCGGAGTTCTCTAGGTAGTCCTGATGTAACTAAACCACAGTCTCATAACATAAACCTAAACTCTCTCTCTGTCTCGGAAAGCTGTTGTCCAGCCTACAGAAGGACACCCGTTGGACGGGAGCTTGCTATCCCCCAGGGCGTTCCATCCAGCTCAGAGAGCAAGCAGATCTCTTGTGTCCCAAGTTCGCTAACCTGAAAGATCATGGTCGGGGCCCCACTGAGTTGATTCTTCCCCGAGGAAAACATCCTCATTTCCTACCACCATCTTTAACAGCACATGGATTTTGGTTCCTTAACCCACCTGTTGCCAGCTCCCAGGGCATTTTGATTTGTCTCCCTCCCTCCTAAAGATTTGAGCTCTGAATTTAACATAATCCTCCAGCTCACAGAATAGAATATATTTTCTCCTCCATTTTCCAGGCTACCTCACCTCTCTTCATGCTGCCTGAAGTCCCTGCTGTTTTCCCCACGACTTCAAAACGGAGCCACTGGAGATCGAAGATGTGCGACCAGTGGTCGGCTCACCTGTTTCATCCTTCTGCGTCAAAACTCTGGATCTACGATGACTGTGACCTCAGACCTTCAAGACTGTTGGCTCTGTGGCCATTTAGCTGTTTAAGGAAGGAAAAATAAACTTCCTCCAAGTTGGGCAAGAGTGGTACCTTCATTTTTCTATTGCTATGTAACAAGTTAGCACAAATGTATGACCTCAGAATTCCTGTAGGTCAGAAATCTGGGCACCACTAAAGTGGATTCTCTGCTTAGTGCTTCACGAGGCTGAAGTCAAGATGTTGGCTGGGCCTCATTTTTCGGGAACTTGGGATCCTCTTTCCAGCTCACACAGCGGTTGGCAGAATTCAGTTCCTTGCAGTGGTCGGACTGGACCCCCTCCTCCACCCCCATCCTCTGCTGGCTGTTAACCAGGGTCCACTCTCAGCAGCTTGTCATGTGGTCTCCTCCCAGGCCCACTCCAGCTTCAAATCTCCCCCATGCAGAGCACTGTCTTCAGGAGGAGCCCAGTCCCCTTTAGGGATCACCTGATTAGGCCAGGCTCACCCAAGGTAATCTCCCTTTCTTAAAGTCTCCTGTGGCCCGAAACATAATCTAATCGCAGGAGTGACTCTCCCATCAATTTCATGGGCTCCACCCACACTCAAGGGGAAAAAGAGACACAAGGTCATTGGACAGCATCCTAGAGCTCTGCCCAGCTCAGGTGGTCTAGACCGGTGTAGAACGAGGGAGGGCGGGAAGGAGGGAGGGGGGCAGGAGACTGAGAAGGAAATAAGGCATCCTTCAGTTTGAGGGAAGTTGCTTCGGGGTCAGTACGGGAAGGACTAGGTGCTAACTTACCCAAACGACAGCCTAGTGGTTAGTCTCATAATTTGGTCTCCAGGCCCTTCCCTCCATGGTGCCTTCAGCGATGAAGGAGGGTGGGAAAAGCGCCCCATGGAGTTTGATGACCGCGGAGCAAGGTCTGGCCCTGTTCTTGCTCGCGCAGTGACTACAGGCACTGAGTATTTTAGTGTCGAAGCTGCTCCCCCTACAGTCTTCCTAAGGATGTCCAATGCCAGAGACATTTAAACCTTTCCTTCCCCCACCAGCCCCGGAGATACCCGATGTCACCTCCCCGGGAAAAGGGGCCAGGAAGGTGAGCAATAAGATTCCTGGCATGTTCTTTTTTCTTCCGATGGCCCACCCAAAGTGCTTGAGAATACCTTGGCTTTTCCCAAAGCCCTCAGTAGGAATTCAGTTCCACCGACTATAAAATTTCAGCAAGTTGGTCAAGGTCAAGGCTGACCGTATTCATGGTGTTGTAAGCTCAGAATGGTCATCACGGGTGAGACTACGGGCTGGAGTCACCCCCTGACATGCAGTCCCATCTCCAGGTCTTCGCCCAGGCTGTCTCTCTGCCTGGGTTGTTTTCCCTGCACGTGGAACAGAGGAAGTTGCAAGCCAGTGTCCTGCCTGACCAGCTGGGCCACTGAGGTTGACCAGATGGACTCTATTTAGGGCCCTGGTTCCCCTGTGCTGGCCACTCTCTGCCGAGCCCACTGCCTATCAGGGCGCTCTTGGTGGCTAATTAGGCAGGCTTTCTCCTGGAGCGCCAGGAAACTGGAATGTGAGCATGGGCTCCCAGAGCACCCATCCAGGCAGGTAGTGGGCAGAGACCCGCAGCAGCTGCTGCTTCTACCCAGAGCAGAGGCTCCAGCACCACCCAGAAAAACCCAAGGTGGACCCAAGGGCAGATCGTCCCCTCTTTAACCTGGGAACCGCTTTCCTCGACACTTTTCATTGCAAACTGGGGACATTCTCAGGGTGCCTAAGTGAACATGAATCTGGTCTCCCCAAAAGTCTGAAGGGACCCCACAAAGTGGAGAACCTTGCTGTAAGCACAGGGCAATGGTTCTTCATCAGCAAAGTGGGCATATTCATCTCCCACGCCCCCGGCTGCTGAGGGGTAGCTGCGTGCCCATCCTGTCCGTGATGCCTTCGAGACACACCACTGCGTGTGAGGCCCCTCATGTGTCCATCAGACCTCGCACATGCTGCCTTGGTCATGGGCCCTACAAGCAGTCAGACCAGGTGGGAAGCCAGAGGCTAAACAGGGCAAGGAGGCAAGGGCGTTCATCCGAGGGTACATCTAGGGTGGTCACAGATCAGCATTACGTCCCACGATGGGTTAACACCTCCGTGAACCTTGGTGACACCCCACCCGCATGACATCCCCCCAACACGTCCACAGATGACACTCACATCCCAATCTCCCTCCTTCCTCTATCTCCTGACCTCCAGACCTATAGACATAGCTGACCCCTGAGCTCCTGCCTCATGTGTCCCCCAGAGTAGCACAAATGCAAACAAAACTCAAGGCATCCCCTTTTGCTCCCTGTTCCTGTGTCCTCAGCTCAAAGCTGGGCACCACCTCCTCAAATGCTCTCCAAACATAAGCACCAGCCTTGACCCTCCCTTTTGCCCACTTCTATGTCCAGGCCCTTTGGGTCCTGCTTCCCAAATGCCTCCTGAATCTGCCCAGCCCCATGGCCACTGCCTGAGTTCATGCCCCCAGCCTACATCCCCTGGACCACGCCCCCAGCCGCCTTCTGTCTGGGTCCTGCACCCTCGATGCACCCTTGTCCTCCACCACAAGCAGCACCAGGGCTCTTGAGCCAGGCCTGTGCTCAGCATCAAGTGCACAACGATGGTTATACGTCAGTCCCTTTCTTCAAGGGGCTTTCCAAGCTTCTAAAATCATGCCCTCGTCAGGTGGATGCAGTAGGCTGGAAAGGACCAGGGGGACAAGCTCAGACTCCGGTCAGGCCTGTTGGAGTCAAATTCAGCTTTGCCCTCCAATTGATCATGACTTTGGGCAAGTGATTTGCCAGCTCTGAGCCTCAGGACTAATCATCACACAGCACCTGCCACATGGGGCCCCAGGGGGAGAGTCCCAGAGATGACACTGAAGTCTACTCAGTAACAGGGGAATGTTCCAGCTACCACCACAGTCCTGAGAAACGGACGCTCCTGCTCCGGGACCCGGATTTGATTTTGCTGACCCTCCTGCCCTGGGAGAGACATCCGTGCACGGGCGGCCCTCACCTGCCCAGCCTGCATGCAGCCCGCTCCTTCCTGGAGCTGGCTCCTTTCCGGGCCCTCCAGCTCAGACAGGCCCTCTCAGTGGGTCCCAACTCAGCCCTGTCAAAGGACCCCTGTGTGAGCCTCAAATGAGGCATTGATAGGGCCGCAGTGAGGGTTGCCCAGCCGACGGCAGGCTGGCTTGGCTTGGCCAGGCCACACAACTTCCCCAAACCCAGCTATTTCCTGTTTCTTGGGCCAGCCCCTCCGGGCCGCCTGGCCACAGGGCACAATCCCGCTATACATCTCTGCCTGTGCCTTGGCTTCGGGCCAGGAGGGATGGGGTGGGGGGAGGGTGTCACTTCAACTGGTCCTCAGGACACACAGCCAATACCGTCCATCTCTATCAGAGCCTCACTTGATCAGTTCCTTGGGGATCTGACAAAGAATGATAAGAGCCATAAAGAAATCTGCTCTCCCGAGAAAAACTGACAACGCCAGAAGGTTGGTAACTCCTTCCTCAGCCCTCCTGTAGCTCCCTGCCTCTGCTCTCATCCTTTCTAGAGACTGACCCTGTACTCCCCTGCCCAAACCCTTCAGGGACTCCCCATCTCAGGATAAGTCCCTGCTCCTGGGTGCAACATTCAAGGCCCCATTAATACTGGTGACCAAGCCCAGCTCACACTTGCCCGGGCTCTCTGCTGACTTCACTCAGGCAGGTCCTTAGCAGCTCAGCCTTGGAGGACAAAGGCCAGAGGTGGAGACCCCAGAGAGAAAGACATTATTGAAGAATTTGATTCTTAGGTCCAACCATGCCTAAAGCCAGAAATCTCTGGACTTGTCATTTATGTGAGCCAAGAAATATCACAACCACCTTTTTTTTTTTTTAATTAATTTGGCTCACGAAGGTTTCTGTTACTTGCAACCATCTCCTTCCTGCAAATGCCCTTCTTGGCTGAAGTGAGCCAGGATGGGTGGCTCACCAAAGGTGCTCCACGATCCAGGCCCCACCACCTCGCCAGGCTCCCCATCCCCACGTGCAGCCACACTGACCTACCTACCCCAGCTCCTCTCCCCATCTCTGCAGGGGCCCTCTGCATACTTCCCCCCCTTTGCTTACCGCTGCCCGCTCATCCTTCCAACTCAGCTTGGTGAAGGGTCCTCCAAGAAGCCTTTGCTGACTGTAGGGGTCTCTGGGACTTTCCTTATCGTGGTGTTGGCCACGGGCTATCATAATCACTTATGGATCTGTCTTCCCCCTCTCCAGACTGCGGGTAACTGGAGGCAAGTCTGACCCATTACAGTCACCCCCCATATCCAGCACAGGACCTGGCTCCAGGTAGGCACTCTCCAGGTGAGTAGGCTTCACACCTTCTCAGGGGAAACATCCGGGTACTTATGTGGTCCATGACTTGGGATCAGAAACAGTGCTGGGTCACCCCCCATGAGTTTCTGGACTGAATAAATGCTGTGTGTGGGTGTGGGTGTGTGTGTGTGTTCACGTTTTTCGGGAAATGGATGCAGAGCTCCCAGCCCTGCCTACACATTTTAAGAACCACATCAGCCAAAGTGAAGCGTGGTGCTGCTTTATTGAAACTTCTTCCCCGTCACACACAAAGCAATTAAACAAGGGAGTGCTGGCGGGGAGCCTCTTACACAGCCCTCTGCCTCTGAACCCCCCTCTCAGACCCCAGAGAACCTGCCTCCATAGCCCTATTATCTCTGCCTCGGGATCAGCTCCCTCAGGAACCCCAGCCCACAGGGAAACAGGCAAAAGAGGGGGTGTTGAGACCCGAACCTTCCCTTCTGCCACCACCGCCATGAGCGCCCACAAAGAGTTTGCCTGCTTTGATTGAACTAACACGTGGATTTAGTCCCGCCAGCAGACCTGCCTGATGTCAGGGCTAAATTGCTGCTTAAGCACAAGCATTGGGCAGGACACAGATGCCTCTGCCCGAATTGGCGACAGATGGGGCCACCGCTGCAGGACGGTGGCAGCTCGCTGCCGGACACGACCGCGCCGGAGGCCGCCCTTGTCGCGGACCCCACCGCTGCGCAACTACGCTGACCATGTGTGGCCGACTGTTGCTGATGATTGTCTGTCTTCAGCAAAAACAACTGTGCGTTTGTCAGTACAGTTGGATGATGGGGACTACTGTTATTTCCTGGAAGTAGCTGCTGGATGACGTTCGGCAACTGCCCGAATTTTCGTTTGAACTAACAATCACTCAGCCCCTTGGAAGTACCAGATTGACCGGAGTGGGCAACCAGGTATTGGATTCAAATAAAGGGAACGGTTTGGGGCTAATTTGATTTTTATTGTTATTATTAAATTTTATCCCTGCTTTGAATCGACTGGTGGTTGGCTGTCCATAATTGCTGAACCCAGCAATTTGAAGAAATCAGACGTATGTATTTAGTGGGAAGGACCCAGGGACGATGACTTGGCCGCATTGTCCTGGGAAGGGACAACCGTCTAAAACCAATGCAACGGACTGTGGCGGTCTGACTAAACTGGTTCCCTGCACGGAGAAGTGTGCTTTTCATTTCTGGCCACATGGTCACACGGGTCAAGTTGCAAGTTGTTTAACCAAACCCACTGAATTGGGAACGACGAACGGTTTAAACAAATGTTGGGGCTGATCACAATAAGCCGAGGGCTGTTGGACCGAATGTCCAAGAGACTCAAGAAGTCTTTTGACCTGAAGTTGACCCAGTTGTGAGCATCTCCCAGGCCCCATGGGAAAAGCAGGCCAGCGAGGGGGACACAAGCAGGTTGTCCTGAGGTCAGCCGGGTGGTTCACCCCGGCTGCAGGGGCCACCAAAGCAGAGAAGCGGATTGCGAGACAGCTCCGCCCCTCCCAGCACGGGGCTGGGGCCTGGCAGGTGTCACACCTCTGAGTAGGGAGGTGGTGCCGGGCCCCCATCTGGACTCTTGTACGGTAGAGAAAGGGCTTCCTCGTAGGATGGCAGGACCACCTGGGAACAAGAGAGATGGGGACTGAGGACCAGCCAGAAGGAA